ATGTGTCACTTTTTATAATTTAAAGTTACAATTTCAAAAAAAATAATAAATTATTAACTTTTAATATCAAAGTTTAAACCACTCAAAGAAAATGAACAGTTTTTTCATTAATTGATTGATATTGATTGATTTTTATTTTATTTTTATATAATTATCATTTATTTAATGATATTGTATTTTAAATTGATTTCTAAAATTATTTTTTGGATAAAATTTTTAAAATTATTTATAATAACATACTAACACACATAACAAATAATAAATTTTTTTATTTTTTTTATTATATTGCATTTTAAAATGATTTCTAAAATTATTTTCTTTTTTGGATAAAAGTTCTAAAATTATTTATAATAACATATTAACACACATAACAAATAATAATTATATTTGTTTTTATATTTATGATAGTGTATTTTAAATTAATTTTTAAAATTAATTTTTTATATAAAATTTCTAAGATTTTTTATAATAACGTACCAATATACAACAACAAATAATAATTATATTTGATTTTATATAAAATTTGATTAGTTAAAAAGAAAAATCCGCACGTTATGTGCGGGTATTCACCTAGTATCTATAAAGAGTATTATTTTTCAATAAATGCCCCAATAGGTAACGCACTCAAAAAGAAATGATGTCTTTGATTTTAAAATTTGATGTACTTTTCATATATATACATATATATTATTAAAAAATTATGTATGAATATGAACCATATATTATTTGAGCCGCAAACTATGTAACATAACTAGAAATATTATTATAAGTAGTAACAAATGAATTGGATCAGGTATCTGCAGAATAAAAAAGTCATTATTATATCTGGATCTGTGATCTTCAAATATGGCACTTAAATTTTATCAGAATCGACATCAATACTCGGTTCTGAGATAGTTTGCCCAGCCTTAAATTACAATAACTCAAACGATACATAAAGTCGTCGTGATTCTTGTCTTTAGATCCTTCATTTCTTCCGTAATGGGGAAGACACTCTATTTCTCCTTGAGAACTTTTATATAATAATAGATCTCCACAAAGTTTGAGTCTGTTTCTATTTCTCCATCAAATGAAAGTTTGGATTCTATTTTCCCACGAGAAAAAACTTCGAAACTCATTTTCCCACGGATGTCAGATTTTATCGGTTTGATATTGGTTTTGAGCAGCTTGTAACTTCAACCTTAAACCATACTTCTTAACCACCAAAATGAAACTTTTTTAGTTACCCGACCCGACCTAGTTGAGGAATTCAACAGTTTTGTGCATGTTGGGTTCACTTTGTTTCCACTGAGCTTGCTTTCCATGGTGATGTAAAATAATTCTTCCTTCTCCCACACCATTTCACTGGCCGTGTTTATAAATTTGATTTTTATATTTTTCTTATTCCACAAAAAATTTATGATTGGGAGGCTCTACAAAATCATTTGCAGCATAATTGATGGCGCATTTGAGTTTCAGCTTATCACTGATTTTCCGGATTTACGCTCTTCTGTTGTTGGTGAATGCCTTCGCCAAAACGCTCCAACAAGACGATAAGTATTTCCGAGTTCTACATTCCTGGTTATCTCTGATTTAATAATTGGTTCCAAAAATGTGTTTTTTTTATGATGTGGTTTTCTGATTCAGCGAGAGATTTTGTTTCAATTTATGGCAGTGAAAAGCATTGAACGAGATAAAGGGGTTGGTCAGATGGAGAGTGGTGTACACTTGGGTCAGAGATGATCCTTGCGGTGATGGTTTCGCCTCTGTGTTCAGGTGTCACTTGCTCCACCGTTGGTAATAACCGTGTCGCACAACCGTTTCAAAATTGTGGAATTCAATTTCTGGTTTTGGATTTTTAGGGTTCTAAGGATTTCTGGGTTTAAGTTTTGTTTTAGGTATTTTAGTTTTGGTTGGGTTTATTGTTTTTTCCGGATTGTAATCGAACTATAATCAGATTTAAACTGGGTTTAGAGTATTAAATTAGGTTGTATTTGGTTAATTTTGGATCTTTTTGTTATTTAGTTGGTTAATTATTAATTGGTATACAGTAAACCAAGTCAAATCGTGGTCAAGGGGTGAAATAAGTTTTGAGCTTTAATTTGATGGGAAAATAAGTTTTGAAGTTCTTTCTCGTGGGAAAATAGAATTTGAACTTTTATTTAATGGAGAAACAGAATGAGACTTAATTTTTGTGGAGATCTATTATTGTATAAAAGTTCTCAGTGGAAAATAGAACATCTTGAGGATTGAAAAGCTAAAGAAGCTAACATCTTGACTAACAAATCAAATTTTGTTCTTTCACCTAGAGCTCTCATTTGGTTGGGTACAACCTGAATTTTATGACTTAACCTTTTCTACTTCCTTCATTTTCATATTCTCAAAAATTTATTCTTAAGGATTACAACCTAACTGTCTTAACTTATTAATATTGTTTTAATTGTTCTACGGTCGTCCAAAGGTCTCCATCTCAATATGTTGGATAGATCACTTCCATAAGTTTAAGCAGTCAAATTCAGATCTAGAGGGTCGTAAATTTATATAAACTAGATTTTTGATCTGCGTTGTGCCAAATTTCATTTTAAACATCTATTATTATGAATTTTTGAACAATTAATTTATCATATTTATATTCACTTTTTTCTTTTATTTCTTGATTTTATTAGACTTTTTTCCATCTTCATATTCTCTTTGTTATCTTCATTCCAGTCTCTTTCCTTATTTTCAACGTTTTTGTCTTTATAGTTTCTAAAATTTCTCTTCATCAACATTGTGTTATTCTTTCTCTTCTTTATTTTTTTTTTATCCTCTCTCTAGGGGTGGCCAATCTAAACAATCCAATCCAATTAAGCTCATTTGGTTTGGATATGGAATTCTATAAAAACCTATTTAAATTTAATATTTCCTATGTTTCAATAAGATAGATTTTTTAAGAAAAAAAAAGTTTCAAAATATTAGATGTTCTCATGTTTCTATGTAATTTTAAATTTATTGAATAATGTGTGACCAATAATGTTATTTGATCATTTTTTGTAATTGTTTTAATTGTATTTAATTATAACATTAAATGATATATTTTTTTCAAAAAAATAGATTTCTTAATTATTGTGTTTTTTTTATAAAAACATCTAACAATTTGATACAGAAGAGTAATTTTTACCAATTTGGGTTTAGGTTATTTGGATTGGTCATTAGGTAATAAAAAAACCCAAATAATATTCAAACTGATTTTAATATATTATTTATATAGTATATACATTACTAAACATAAATGTACAGAATTTTTTTTTTGTATTTCTAGATTTTACTAAACCAAGGATAATGATTTTATTTTATTTTAAAATGTTATAATTTTTTTATTATTGCAATTGGCGTTAAGAATTTATTTTAGATGTTATTATTTATATAAATATTCAATAATTAACCCTAATATAAGATCTAAACAACCCAAACAAAATTAGATATAAGTTTATTTTACTCTAATTATTTACGATCCAAACAACCCAAACCTGATCTAAAAAACTTGATCCAAATTTTATATAATTCAAATTTGGTCAAATAATTCTCAAACCAAATAATTCAAACCCAACTCAAAACCTAAGAAACCCAACCCAAAACCTTAAAAATTCAACCCAAAACTTGGATTGGCCACCCCTACTTCTCTCCATCGTATTAAACTTCTACTTCTCTTTTTTTTTTCTTTTGGTTTTTCTTATCTTTTTTTTTTCCTAATTTTTTTTTTGTCAACTCTAATTTTATTTAATCTCTTTTTTTTTAATCGGTGTATGTATTTTCTTCTTTTAATTTATCTTCATTTTCATCCTCTTATCTATATTTTGATTGTTCTTTTTTTTTTATTCTTTTTCATCATCTTTTGAATTATTTTTATTCATCGTCATTTTGTCTAACTTATTTTTTCTTCCAGTTTCTACTTCTCTTATTTTTAATAAAAATAATAATAATTAAAAATGTGTGATTAAATTGAATTACTAGTTTTAGTGTTAGTGTTTTAAAAAAAAAGAATAATTATAATATGGAGAGAAAACTTTGGATTCTAAAGTGAGTTTTACTTCTGATACATGTTTCGTACTGGTTCTTACTCGGGATTTGAATTAAATGAGTCATTAATTAACTTTAAGCTGATGTAGATAGCTTAGATGGAGAGAAAAGTTTCCTATTATATAACAGATTTTCAGCTACTAAATCCATTGATACAAAAAAAAGTAAATAGATCAAAACCATACCATTGAAGTATTCAATATGCCAGTTTTCAGCAAATCTTAATTATTAAAATATGATAGAAGTGGGAATCTAAACTTCAATCAAATCCAACCAAAATATAGTTTTATTTCATCAAAAAACTGATTGATATTTGGAAAATTGTGGTACATATATACATTAACAATTTATAGAACCAAAATGTATACTTAGTTAAGTGGTTGACCAAAATGTATAAATGTTTCTATACCAGAAGGTATATGATTCACAAAACATACAAATTTATAAGGAGATTTTTATTGTGCAAGGGAAACTGTTCATTTGTTGTCCCAGTCGGTGTGGATTCTGGTGAAACGTCAGCTCTAAAATTGTCATTAGCAATAAAATACACTTAAATACAACATGCATTATATGCAACATTTAAGAAAGATGATTTAGTAGCATAGTGATGACAAAGTAAAGAGAAAATACTCTAGTGGTGATATTTAAATCCATTTGACAAGTCTTTCGAGTTTAATAGTGTAATGAGCGTACATTTTCACTTTCAGACGTCCTCTAGCTAAACAGCCACCCATAATAATATCCCATAATCGTAGAAAACACAAAATCTCTGTGAAGTTGTGTCAAAAATAAAAGAATCCTTCAAGCAAATCCATTGCCAAACGAAGAAGTCCCTACGACTATTCTTTTTCTTGCCTTGGCAGCCTGCAATTACAGATAGCAGCAATCCACTTCAGTAGAATAAAAAAAAAAGTCATCAAGTGTCCAGAAAATAAAGAAGATTGCTATTGACCTGTTCGTTCCAACTCATGCAAGCAGTGACTATAGCCAGTATGATTCCTTGCGCCGTAGACCCAAAGATCACACCGATCCATAGCCCTTTCCCATTCATGTGACACCAAAAACCTAAGAAAAGTCCAACCGGAGCTCCTATGAGATAGTAAGCCACTACATTTGCCCAAGCTCCAATATGTTGCCATCCACTTCCCCTAGCAACCCCTAGCCAAACATATGAAACACATTTCGAGTCATGATATGATTCTTTTCTTTCATTTGTTAGTTGATGGGTTTTATCTTATTACCACCAAGCACCGCGGAAAATCCATCAACGATAAATGAGAGACAGAGCAAATGTGATAGCTCTGTGACATAGTCCACAACTTCTTTGCTGTTGCTAAAAGCATAGCCGAAGATATTTCTGAAAGTGAAGAGAATCGTGCTACAAATAGTAGCCTTTAGGAGCCAAAGGCAAATACCGGCAAACACTGCCAGCCTAGCAACCTTGGGATTTCCGGCTCCCAATTCGTTTGAAATCCTTGTGCTGCCAAAGTAAAATAAGAACCGGCCGGTGTGACTAATCAGCAACTTTCCAAACAAAATTTGAGATGGTTTATCAAAATCACACCTCGCAGAAGCAGCAATACCCATTGGAATGACATAGTGTAGAGATCCTATTGTAAGACTGTCATGAATAAAACAACAACAACCGAAAAAATTGCAAGTTAGAATTATATTTTTAAATTCTGTTTGCTCATTATGTCACAATGAAAACTGATCATATACATTTGTCGTCAAACACTTAGCCAACATTTACTTGACTAATCTGCTAATTAATCTAAAAAAGGAGAGACAGATTGAAAGAGATACATAGATTACCAAACTGAAAGAACAGAGGTCTCCAGTTTTGGGTTAGGGAGGAGTCCTGAGGACAATATAAGGAGCTCAAACAACCACCACTCTAAGCTTCATATATAGAATTTAAACAATCAAATAAAGCTAGAGGAAGAAATATGTACCAAAGATAAAGAAGATGAATGTTTTACCAAGTCATTGCTGCTGATGGAATTCCATAATGAAAAAACTGCTTGACACCAGAGACAAAATCATGAGATACAAAACTGCGAGTCTTCTCGCAAGAACTGGAGAATCTCACATAGACAGCAAGAATCAAGACGTTAAACCAGTAAGACAGACTAATAGCCAGGGCAGCTCCATTGCTTCCGAGACCAAACGTGAAGACCAGAGTCCAACAAACAGGTATATAGAATAAAAGGGTGGTCAAGGCACAATAAAGAAGAGGTATAACCAAACCCTGAGTCTGGAGAAACCGAGTCAGAGGTTGTTGAACAGCTTGAGCGAACAACGCAGGTATAAGCCAGACCGCATAGGAGCCAGCTAGCTTGGAGATTTCAGGGTCTTGTCCGATTGAAATCAAGAGTTTTTCCATGTAAATCCAAACAATCGAAATGAGGAAACAAATGGGTACGTTGGAGGCTATTGCAGAGTAAGTGTAAGTTCCCATTTTGGCGTATCGTTTGGCTCCATAAGCTTGGCCACAAAGAGTTTCAAGTGCACCCACTAACCCAGCCTGCACAAAAAAGTGCAGTGTTTCAAGATTTTGAATGGCGATTGAAGTGAGCCTAGATCAAAGGACACTCAAATTTGTTAACTAGCCTAGGTTTGGTTTTTTCCCCGAGACCGCGTCCATAAACCAATCCACTAGAACAAGAAAGCATATACAATATACTCGCAAAACTCATGAACCAAGCACAAGCTTGCAAAGGGTCTTGAAATTTGTACGAGGAGGATGTTTCATTACCATGATGCTAAAGCCGGAGACGTTTGCGAAGGAAGTGGCAAGAGCGACACCGGAGAGCTGGAGCTCGCCACGGTGACCGGCGACCATGATGGAGATAAGAGGCAATAGATACTGAGCAACGGTAACGGTGGCCATAGGTGCGGCCATGCAGCTGACGTTCTTCATCTCCGCCGTGAAATCCAACCGCCATGACGGCGTTTGCTTTAGATTTCCGGTGGTTATCTGCTCGTCTCCCGATAAAAGAGAATCTTCCATTATCTTGGAGTTTTTTTAGTTCGTGTGTCGTTGACCGTTTCTGTTCTTTGGAACTTGTGTGAATGATAATGCACGAATTCAGAGAACAGAGACAGACAAAACTAGTGAAGCATCAAGTTTAGCCGTTATGTTTGAACTAGTTATTGAAGTTTGAATAAGTCAAGAGTTGTCCTGGTTTATAGGAACAACTCTGCAGTAGTCTTAGCATTAAGTTAGTGCATTAGTTAGTTGATTGGTTTTCGGTAGTTTGTTGAGTTTTAAAAGTCCGATATAAGGACCAGCTGATGTATTGAAAACGTTCAAGGCAATAAGAATACAATTCAGCAAACAATTTCTGTTCTTACAACTAGTAGTAGTATTCTTAAGAAAAAGTCAACGTTATATGAATGCATTTAATTGGTGGAAATAAACAACTTATATCATTATATGTGTTGTGATCGATGTTCAAATTTTCTTTAGGTATTAATGGGACGATTAAAGAAGCATTTTGCAACGACAAAGAGATGCATTTTGCTAAGTTAATTTAACCACTACATGAAAACATCCATAAATTAATATTGTATTCAGTTGGTCACAAAAATAAATAATAAAACTAATATTGTATTCAATAAATTTATAAGGAAATTAAAAGATCTTAGATTTGACCAATGTAAAATTTTAAAAATGATAAAAAATTATTTAAGAATACATAATTTCAATAATATCATTAACTAATGAATATAATTTATTTAAGCGTATGTAATTAAGATAATGGAGTAAATATTAATTTTAGGCAATAATGTTATATCTCTTTTAATTGTTTGTTTTAGCGTAATGCTAAATTTTTATGTTAGATTCAATTCTTACTTTTACTTATTACATCAAAAACTTGGCGTTATATTTTTTTTTTCTTAAAGCTTTTCAAAGAAACCATTTTGGACTTACATTTATTATTCAAAAGAATTGTGTTCTTAACATTTGAATACATTATCTTATAGTGTTCACAACTTTTGACCAAAAAAAATTAAAAACAATTGTGCTCATAATAAGGAATTCAACAATTCATAAACCTTGTCATGAGTTGCCTTGAAAAACCACCAGAATATTGACCAAAACAGTGTTTCCTAAAACGAGTTCCAACAAAATGTCTTGAAAGTGTGAATCAGGGACACAGACTTCGTATAAGGAAATCGTGAAAATTTACTTACTGTGAAGTCATACTTTAGTGAACAAGCACATTTAATTGGTCAATCTTGTTTTGCTGAAGACTAATCAAAGTTGGAGTAAATTAAACTAATGTTGAGTTACTTTTTGGGACCACACTGCAAAGGGAAATGGCTTTGCAAAAAAACAAAGAAGCAATGGCTTGTTTCTGTCTTAAGGACTATTTGTTTGCTTATGCCCAAAAGAAAAAGAAAATTTTGGCTAATGCCACGTCGATGTTCAAGCCCGAGTTTTGGTGTTTGAAGCTGCACTTTCGGCGATTGGCATTTTGCGCATGAAGCCTTAATTATATCTACTTGTATATATTAGGTGCTTATTGTAATGAGAGAAGTAGAGCGTGAGAGAACTAAGTTCATTTTACTGGGATGGTGAGAGTAGAAGAAAACTTGTTAGTGTAAGCTTGTGTGAAGTTTTTTCTCTGTGTTAGGGAGTGGTACAGAGTGAGTCTAAGTGCTAGTGAAGGGCATTAGACTGGTCACTTATAGATTCCTACTGTATTCACCACCTGATTCTAGTGGATTCCGAGCAAAGTCTCGGCCAGACGTAGCGGCCCTCGTTAATGGGCGTGAACTGGATAATGTGTGTGTGCTCTCTTTTTTTTGGTTATTCTTTGTTATCACCTCTGTTTTTCGGAAAATCTTTGGTTTCTCTCGTACAAGTGCTAAGTTTTCTGGCTGAGCTTATATCATCTCAGATCTCATGTTTGTTTGGTCTTTTCTCAAGGAAAGTCGACGCCTTTGAGGTTAGAAAGACTCAACAGAGTGGTATCAGAGCCAGGTTCCCTTGTTTGTGATTCAGTATAGTCTTCTCAAACAAGGAATCATGTCTTCGACGAGAATAAAGGTTGAAAAGTTTGATGGCAAAAGCGACTATATCATGTGGAAGGAGAAACTTGAAGCTCAGTTGGATATTCTAGGTTTGAGTGTGGTGTTCAAGGAAGCAGAAGCTACCGAGAAATTAACTGCAGACCCTCAGGAAAAAGGGAAAGATGACAAAGAAGAACAAGAAAAGCTGGAAGCTTTTGAAGATAAGAAGAAGCGAGCAAGGAGCACAATAGTTCTCAGTCTCACAGACAGTGTTTTGAGGAAGGTTAAGAAGGAGAAGACTGCGGTCTCTATGTGAAAGGCTTTAGACAACCTTTACATGTCTAAAGCTCTTCCAAACCGGATCTATCTAAAGCAGAAACTGTATAGCTTCAAGATGTCTGAAAATCTGTCGGTTGAAGGAAACATGGATGATTTTCTTCACATTATTGCTGATCTGGAAAACATGGACGTTTTTGTTTCTGATGAGGATCAAGCTATTCTCTTGCTGATGTCACTTCCAAAACCGTTTGATTCTTTGAAGGATACTCTGAGGTATGGAGCTGGAAGAACAACTTTACACTCGATGAAGTTACTGTAGCGATCTACTCAAAGGAGCTTGAGCTGGGTTCATCAAAGAGAAGTATAAAGAGTCAAGCTGAAGGTCTCTAAGTAAAGGAAAAGAAGGAGACTCGAGGTAGAAGTGAACAGAGAGAGAAAGGAAACAAGGAGAACAAATCAAAGTCTAAGTCCAAACAAAGAGGATGTTGGACTTGCGGAGAAGACGGTCACGTCAGAAACACCTGTCCCAACAAGAACAAAGCTCAATCTAAGTCAAAGGACAAAGGAAGCAACAAAGGAGAATCTTCTGGTGGAAATGGTAACTTAGCTGAAGCCGCTGCGTTGTATGTGTCAGAATCATTGTCTTCCACATATGTACATCTTGAAGACGAATGGATCATGGACACGGGCTGTAGTTACCACATGTCTCACAAGAGAGAATGGTGAGGACTTAAATGAAGAAGCTGGAGGTTCTTTGAGGATGGGAAATAAGACGATGTCAAAGGTGAAAGGAGTGGGATCTATCAGAGTCAAAAACGAAGCTGGTCTGAGTGTGGTGCTTACAAATGTAAGATATATCCCTGAGATGGACAGGAATCTCTTGTCTTTGGGTACACTTGAAAAAGCTGGGTACAAGTTTGAATCTGAAGATGGTGTTTTAAGTATTAAGGCGGGAGATCAAGCCTTACTTACTGGTAGAAGATACGACACTCTATATCTACTGCAATGGAGGCCAATGATTAGAGAATCCCTCACGGTTGAAAGAAGAGATGATGATACTGTTTTATGGCATCGGAGACTGGGTCATATGAGCCAGAAGAATATGAACGTGTTGCTGAAAAATGGCTTTCTCGACAAGAAGAAAGTGTCCACCCTTGAGACGTGTGAAGCCTGCATTTATGGAAGGGCAAAGAGAGTTGGGTTCACTCTAGCTCAACATGACACGAAGGAGAGGTTAGAATATGTTCATTCAGACTTACGTGGAGCCCCGTCTGTACCAATGTCACTTGGTAAATGCCAGTACTTCATTTCATTTATTAATGACTACACAAGGAAGGTGTAGATCTATTTCTTGAAGACAAAAGATGAAGCTTTTGAGAAATTTGTGGAGTGGATCAACCTGGTGGAGAATCAAAGCAATATGAAAGTCAAGACACTGAGAACTGACAATGGTCTTGAGTTTTGTAATCAGTTGTTTGATGATTTCTGTAACTCAAAGGGGATTCAAAGGCACCGAATTTGTGCTTACACACCCCAGCAAAATGGTGTTGCTGAACACATGAATAGAACCATTATGGAGAAGGTGAGAAGTATGCTTAGTGATTCTGATCTCCCAAAGAAATTCTGGGCAAAAGCTACTCATACTGCAACCATTCTTATAAACGAAACCCCTTCATCGGCTCTGAACTTTGAAATACCGGATAAGAAATGGTCAGGAAGGCCACCTACATATAGTTACCTGAGGAGATTCGGCTGTGTAGCGTTTGTGCATACAGATAATGGGAAGTTAAGTCCCAGAGCAAAGAAAGGAGTTCTTGTTGGCTATCCTGACAGAGTTAAGAGATGTAAAGTCTGGCTGATTGATGAAAGGAAATGTGTAGTGAGCAGAAACGTTATCTTTCAGGAAAATGCAGTCTACAAAAATCTATTGCAGAGAAATGTAGAAGCTGGTGGAGAAGAAAATGATCGAACAGGATCATATCTGGATTTAGATCTTGAGACCGGAGAAGATTATGATTCGGGTGGAGGATCCACAGTAGCTCGAAACTCACATGTACCTGCAAGTCCAGGACCTGCAACTCCAACAGGACACTACGATGATGATGAAGCTGAGATTGATGTAAGTCCTTCTCCTCTGAGTTATCACTTGGTGAGAGACATAATTAGAAGAGAAATCAGAGCACCTAGGAGGTTCGATGATGAGGACTACTTCGCTGAGGCTCTGTGTACAACAGAAGATGGTTATAATGTTGAACCTGCAGACTTCAAAGAAGTCAAAAAGGATACAAACTGGAAAAATAGAACTCCACCATGGATGAAGAAATGGATTCTCAAACCAAAAATCATTCCTGGATAGTAGTGAAACGACCTGAAAATCAAAGGGTTATTGGAAGCAAATGGATTTTCAAGTATAAACTTGGAATACCTGTAGTTGAAGAGCCTCGCTACAAAGCAAGACTGGTAGCAAAGGGCTATGCTCAAAGAGAAGGAATCGATTATCATGAGATCTTTGCTCCAATAGTAAAACATGTATCTATAAGGATACTGCTTTCAATTGTTGTTCAAGAGGACCTAGAACTAGAGCAGCTGGATGTGAAGACAGCCTTCCTGCATGGAGAGTTGAAAGAAAAGATCTACATGTCTCCCCAGAAGGTTATTAGAATATATTCAAGGATGATGAAGTTTGTCTCCTAAACAAAGCCCTGTATGGCCTAAAACAGGCACCAAGACAATAAAATGAAAAGTTCGACAACTCCATGTTAGAAGTTGGTTTCATCAGAAGCAATTATGACAGCTGTGCCTATATGAAGATGCTGCAGGATAGTTCAATGATCTACCTGCTTATTTATGTAGATGACAAGCTTGTGGCAGCCAGGAACAAAGATGTCATTGCACAACTAACTAAAGAAGGATCTTGGATCTGCCAAGAAAATCCTTGGAATGGAAATCGTGCATGACAGAGCTAATGGTGTTCTGCATCTGTCACAAGAAGGTTACTTAAACAAGGTCTTAGAAACCTATAACATGGGAGAAGCAAAGCATGTAATGACCCCATTCGGTGCTCATCTTAAGATGCGTACTGCAACAGAAGAAATGCTAATCAGAGATGAAGATTATATGAAGTCTGTGCTATACTCAAATGCTGTGGGAAGCATCATGTACGCTATGATTGGTACTCGTCCAGATTTGGCCTACCCTGTGGGCATTATTAGCAGATACATGATTCAACCCATCAAGGATCATTGGCTAGGAGTCAAATGGGTACTCATATACATCAAGGGCACATTAAAGACGAAGCTATGTTATAAAAGAAGCTCTGATTTCAGTATAGTTGGGTATTGCGATGCTGATTTTACAGCATACCCTAACAAAAGAAGGTCTATCACTGGTTTAGTGTTCACTCTTGGAGGAAACACTATAAGCTGGAAGTCTGGTCTACAAAGAGTTGTAGCTTTGTCAACCACTGAATCGGAATACATGGCATTAACTGAAGCGGTTAAAGAAGCTATATGGTTGAAAGGGTTGATGAAGGAATTCGGGTATGATCAGAGAAGTGTGGACATCTTTTGTGATTCTCAAAATGCAATTGCACTCTCCAAGAACAATGTGCACCATGAAAGGACAAAGCACATTGATGTTAAGTATCACTTCATTCGTGAAGTTATTGCAGATGGTGATGTTAATGTGAAGAAAATATCGACTGAGAAGAATCCGGCTGATATATTCACGAAGACCTTGGCTGTAAGCAAGTCTCAGGCTGCCTTGAACTTGCTTCAGATCAAGCCTGAGTAGTAGAACTCAGGGAAACCAAGACTGGAATCCTGAACTAGAATCAGGTACTCTCTCTCATATTATGCTGTTAAATGTTTGTTTCCCCACGGTATCAGGTGGAGATTTGTGAAGTGATACCTTGGTGAACAAGCACATTTAAAATTGGTCAATCTTGTCTTGCTAAAGCCTATCCACGTTTGGAGTAAACTAAACCAATATTGAGTTACTTTTTGGGACTACACTACAAGGGAAAATGGCATTGCAAGAAAACAAAAAGGCAACGGCTTGTTTCTGCTTTAAGGACTATTTGTCTGCTTGTGCCCAAAAGGGAAAGAAAATTTTGGCCAATGCCACGCCGATGTTCAAGCCCGAGTCTTGGTGTTTGAAGCTGCACTTTCGGTGATTGGCGTTTTGCGCATGAAGCCCTAGTTATCTACTTGTATATATTAGGTGCTTATTGTAATGAGAGAGGTAGAGCGTGAGAGAACTAAGTTCATTTTACTGAGATGGTGAGAGTAGAAGAAAACTTGTTAGTGTAAGCTTGTGTGAAGTTTTTCCTCTGTGTTAGGGAGTGGTACGGAGTGAGTCTAAGTATAGTGAAGGGCACTAGGCGGGTCACTTGTAGCTTCCTATTGTATTCACCATCTGATTCTAGTGGATTTTAAGAAAAGTCTCGGCTAGACATAGCGATCCTCATTAACCAGCGTGAACTGGTGTGCTTTCTATTTTTTTTTTGGTTATTCTCTGTTATCACCTCTGTTTTTCGGAAAATCTGTGTTTTTGGTTTTTCTCATACAAATGCTAAGTTTTCTAGCTGAACTTATATCATCTCAGATCTCGTGTTTGTTTGGTCTTTTTTCAAGGAAAATCGACGCTTTTGAGGTTAAAAGACTCAACACTTACACTACTATGTTAACTCACCACATCCTATACACTCTCGTAGTGGGAATAAATAGTATTTAACTAACATCAGGCACTGACGTGAGTCGGCAGATATGATCTTTTAAATGTTGAAGCATATACAAATTTAATCTGATGCAAACCCTGAAAATGTTGAAGTATCCAATTACCAATTGCGGCCCAATTAAGGTGGTTCGTATAGTTCACTTATATTGTTTGTTTTTATTTAAATTGTATCTATTTAAATTATATTGTTTGTTTTTCTTTAAATTGTATCTAGTTGAAAAAAATAAGTAGAGGTCCAAATGGATCCCCCACTAAAAGATGATTGTGGCTCACTGTCAAGATATACTTGTTTAGGCCATCATATAGAGAAAGGTACTATATACTTTGTAGAAAAGATTAGAACCGTTTATATATACCAAATACTTAGTGAAAAGGATTATACTCGCCATGAACAAGTTTTCCACTATAAATAAATTTTTTTATCCGAACATAGACTTGTTTTACTAAAAGAATTTGTATGCAAGAGAATTATTTAGACATGACGAATAATTGCAAATTTTTGAAGCGAGGACATGAGACTAAAATTTGGAAGCGTAATGTTAATAACGGCTGAGAAATAATACGTGTCAGAGGTCGATCTTAAGTTTGATTATAGTTTTTTTTTTTTTTTTTTTTGTTGAGGTATCTATCTTATGTGAAATAAACAGATATACGCTCTACTACAAACATATTATGATGATCAACATAGCAGTACCAAACACTTTTCAATTTCTAAGTTTAAGGACTTATACTCCAAATCCTAAAGCCTCGAGGACTGCAACTGGATCAAGCTGATCAATATCCACTTCTTCAACTTTATCCCAATCAATATACATATCCACTGGATCTTCCTCATCCCTTGAGACAGAAGACGATACGTTGATTTCGCGAGAAGGAGTTTCTCGAGCTCGGCTAGTGCTTGAGTTTTGCAATGCACTGAGCTGGGCTTTAACCGCTTCAAGAGTATTGTATGGAGGATAATTGTACGTACAGTATGGATTATATGTTTGTATTGGTTGTGGTGTGATCGAAAGTGGAATTGTGCTGTTTGAACTACTGCCCTGGAAAAAAAAAACAATCGTAAGTAAAATATTATTTAACAAAGATGTGATTTGCTATAAAAAACCGCAATATATCAAATGTTGAAGAAGTGTCATTCATTACCTGATGAAGAGAATCGATGTTTGGCTGTACCACGGTATGTAGGAAAGCTGCATTGGGATATGAGTCTTGAATGAGCCAATCATGGTTGAGATGAAGTTCTTGCTGAGTAATGGATGAGCCAGGCATCGATTGTGGCTCAATAGTCACATAAGGATTGATGAAACCTTGAGCCATGTTGTAGTTGTGATTTCCTTGAGTTGAATGTATCAATGAGGTATACACATGTTGTGGCTCGTATATTGAACTTGTATTACTTGTCTCCTGAGAAAAATCACGCAAAGATAGACAAGCCATGTTGTCGTTGCAAAAGTCTTCGACAGAAGTGATAGTTTGTGGAATGATAGTAGTTGGTTGTTGGGGGTCGTTTGGATTTGTCTCTCTTTTGGGAAAGTGGTGCGACGAAGGTTTTAACCAGTGATCTACTATTTGTGAAGCTGGCTGTTGAGTTATTGGAGTTTCTCTGTGTTGAGTGGGTATAGATGGAGCCATACTTGCTATTAGATATTGTGCCTCAAACATTTTACGGTTGTTCTCTATTGCAAAAGCCATTTGCATTCTTTCTGCTTCCCGACATCTTTGTAGATGTAAATCTTGCTACAAGGTATTTTTTTTAAAAAATGAATGGAAAAAGTTGTTATATATATTTGTTACTTGATGAAAAACATTTATTTCTAATAAATTTACCTCTATAAGCATGTAAAGTGATCCTTGAACTTCTTTTGCCTTCTTTGGCGGCTTCGCAGCCCCAGTAACTTTAGGTCTTCTACTCAATTTTGTATTAACATGTTCAGTAATCTCGTAAGTTATGACCATAACTAATTTGTTATGGAGTGAATAAATTTGTGTTCATATTATGAGATAAAAGTATTTTTCTTACATGGTTACTTGTGGGCGAGGTGAACTTGATGAAGCATATCTTTTGATAATGCGTCGAGCAGTTTTAAAACCTTAAAAAAAGGTATAATATAAGACTTTATAATTTTGTATTAGTGTATTTGTTTAAAATATATATATATATATTTATATATTTAAATAAACAATTTTCAAGGTTTATGTGATTAAATAAATGATATAGTAAAAAAAACAAAAGATATTAAGAAAAAATACCTAATATTTATCACTAATTATTTTTAAAAATTAATATTTTAAAGTTTAATATTAATAAAATAATCTGTTTTGTTTTTTTTGTTAATCTGTAAATATTCATATTCGTGAAATTTCTAATATATTTTAACAAGATTTTTGTTAATATGATAATTCAGAAATCTTATTATATGAATTTGTTAACATTTAGTTTCTCAAATATATATTTTTACTTTTTGTATAAAACAATAATTAAAGTCAATTTTCAAGAAGAATGATACCAAAAACAAAGACGTAGAAGAGAAAGTTTAAGGGAATAGAGCTGAACATACGTTTATTATATGGATCTGAGTCATCCCGTATGTTACATTTTCCGAGTCTAAACTTCTGCAAAGATAAAAAAAAAACTATATGAACTTAAAGTTAATTTTGATTCATATGAAGAATATAAGAAAATAATGGACCTGAAGATGACTCTTTACATGGTGAAGTGCAATTCCTTCAACTTCCATTTTCTCTCTGACACTTTTTGGTGTTGCCTCTGTAGAAACAGAAATAGTTGTGATATAAGCTTTTTGGTCTTTTATATGTTACCAACATATATATATATAAACTTAATCATACCACAATATCTACAACTGTAACATTTGCTACAAAAAAAGAAACAATGCTGCAATTATTTTTAGATATTTTAGCCTTTTTGAGTGTTTTAAAAACTCTTTTGGAGGTTAAAACATCGAATAATTCATGTTTGACCATTTATAAACTTGTAAGTAAGATCCAATGAATAATGATGAGATACATTTTTTATATTATTTATATATTCGAAAATTAGATTTTGACCAGTATTGTGTATTTAATAGATCTTTCATAAAATATAAATGCAATGACGCGTGCTAAAATACTAACAAATAATTTTCATTAACTTTAACATCAATAAAAAACGACAAAACATCAATTATATATTCGAAAGTTATTCGCCGCAAAAAAAATGTCGGACAAATCATAAACATTCCGAGTTTATTTCTAAGACATACGTGATAAGATTAAGATTAACGACTAAATTTTTTACAATTTTATCAAAAGTAATTCAAAGCTTTATGTCAACAAAAATAGACTTGGATAAGTTCAATTTTTGAAAAAAACAAATGGACGAAGATATTCGAAATATTTAAACAAAAACAATTATTTGATCATGCCTTAAGAACGAATCTCTCTGGTAATAACCAAAATTTCAACAAAATAAAAGAATTGAAGTGAAATACAGGAAGCAGAATGCTTGTAAAAATAGTTTGATTTGTGAAATATTAAGGTAAGTAATGTATATATCCTTTTTTGAATCACATATATGTACTTCATATAGATAATGCATATATCTTAATTTTTTCTGCAATACAAACTAAAGAAAAACAAGATCAAACATGAATATCATATATTTACAATTGATATGCAAACCGTAAATGAATAAAACCATATATGTATCTTGAAACTCTTGCAAACTTTTTCTATCTAAAAGAATCTAGAAACCACAAAAACAATTGTAATCATTTTTTTCCTCCTATCAAAGTATATCCTAAGGTTTATGAATCCTAGTAACTGATCAGAAAAAGTAAATTCATAGATAGATGCCGATCACAAACATGTATTGACCAATTTCCTCCTAGATTACATTCATGCATGTATCCATACAAAATCTTAAAACCTAAAGCAATGGAAAAATTACAAACTAAAGATGGATATAACAAGCAAAAATTAAAGTAGACTGATAAAATGAAAATGTAAGTGAAGAAACAAAGAACTCAAGAAACAAGAGTTTTAAATTACTAACTGTCAGGTCCACCGAGTTTTGCAACAGCATTGACAAAGCAATCGTGTAGGTCGCTTGACCACCGCAATCGCGCCTTGTCATCTGAGGTATAGAAAATGCAAGGCGTGATCTTTGAAGATGAACTCTTCTTTTCTTGAATACCCTCAACTTTCTCTCCATTCTCTTTCTTAGATTGTTCTAGTTCTAAGTTTTCTCTAAGTGTCTCCTTATTAGCTTCTAGGAGAGCCGCTATTCCTTGCTCAGTGAAATACATGGACACTTCCTCCGTCTGATCAAAGTGATCAACACGATGAAAGGAAGTGCTAGGATTTTCTTTGAGAGTGAAAATTTCTTTTCCTTTTTCTTTCTTCTTCAACTCTTGGGAGCTCATTTCAAGCTTTTTATCAATGACCTATTCTAAAATTCTATGAACTTCTATCTTTTGGTTTGATTTGTTTTTCAAGTCGGAGTGATTGCAACTTGCAAGCATTATAGGGAAAAAGAAAAGAAATGGATTATACCATGCATTAGAGAAAGAAAGAGAAACTAAACAACTTTTTTCAAAAAAAAAAAAGGTTCAATGAACAGTAACTCCGGGATAAGGTAACAAAATTTAGTGACCTTTTTTTGTCAAAAAAAATTAGTGACCTTTAAGAAGATGATTAGCTTTTTATTTTCAAAATTGCGAAAGATTTATCTAATTGTACCCTACGAGAAGATCAAAAGAGTTGAGACCAACCATTTTTATGGGGGGGTTACAGACTCATTTCAGAGAATGACAAAGATGTTATAAATTAAAGTTAGAAGAAGCCAAGAGATATTCGCAACGGCTGGTTTGGAACTTACTTTTGTGTGAGAATTACTGAAATTGGCAATTTATGGAGACTTTTTTAACTTGTCTAAATACGATTATGGTAAAATCAAAATTTTTACTTGTATATAAAATTTGTATCGGATATAAACATACAGTAATTATATAAAATCAACAGTAAGTTCAATGATAATTCATCTTTATTTAAATACGTTAAAACTATTGTAAAATTTGAAATAGAACAAAAAATTGGCAAAAAAGTATAAACTCTGAAAAGAATACAAAATATATAAGAAAAACATAAGAAAAAATGATAAAAGTAGAAATTATAGGTTAATATTTGAGATATAATTCAAACTATAGCAAAAAAACCAATAATACAAGGAATCGTTTTAGACCATAATCTAATGTGATATAAAGAATTATGCAAAACAAGGTATATCTTGATTGTGGAAAACCTTTTACCAAAAAAAAGTATATTCTAATTGCGATATTATCTTGTTAGATGATTTGAAATTGGGATGAAATTTGTATATAGCTTTTTAAAATCATTCAAACCCCCCTAATACTTTCGCAATGCTACTAGAATTTTATGTATTATTGATTACAGTGAGATTTAAGTTAAAAGATGGTTATAGACATTCACTTATATTGACCGTATTAATGTACATTATTAAATTAATAATTAAACTCTTATGGATATTGTAATTAAGATATATGCAATGTATGTTGTATCTTTGCTTTCCATTTACTATGTTTTTGTGTAACCATAATTTGCTTTTGACACATAGATGTATTTTGTTCACCGCTTTCAATGCATAAAATCGAAATTTAATGAGGACTACAAAGAAGAACAGTACAAATTTGCTGATTGAATTACACTCTTTAATTGTAACAACTTTTCTTGTTTTTTTTTTTTACTAAATTCATGTTAGAGAAAACACTTTAGAAAAATAGTTTCCCTAAATTTTTTTTTTTTTTTAAATTATTAGCATTAATTATTGGTTTTCCCTTAATTTGTTTGTTTCTACTGTCGCTAGCTTTTTCTAAATTGTAAATTGTTAGATTACTCCAAGTGTCCAAACATAATTTTATTGAATATGCATAATTTTTATAGTTTAAATCTATTAAAACACTAAAAATATTTTCGACATATATAGTAAAAATTAGATAAACTAACAAAGAGAAGAATAATTATCGAATAATTATCGTCTCAATTTATGTTAATTACAAACACCGTTGCATAACCAGTATCTTAAACTTCATCTAATCTTAAAAAATTAAAATTAACCTTCACATCGAATATTGGTTAAGTCTCATCAAGACTCGCTAATGCAGATTTACATCCCAATCTCTTCTTTAGTCATACGTATACGAAAATATGAAGGCTAGATTACGAGAAATGATGGCAATTTGTTTTCCAAAAAAAAAGCAAAAATATTATTTATAAAATTTTAAAATAAATTTGGATGTATTATTATAGAAATTAGGTTTTTGCACGAATTCCTCAAAATAAAATAAATAATTTTCTTTATAAACAGTTAACGAGATTTTAACCTAATATTGTAGATTTGGACATCAAAAGTAATATGAATCAACAAAAGGCATATTGTACATGTCAACTAAACTGTTCTAGATTTGCAAGTGAGTGAGACGATTCAACGTGCCTTAAGCCCTTAACATTGGACGTTAGTTTATCATCTAGCCGACCAAAGATAACCAAAAATAAAGATATCTTTTAGACGTTAAGATTTATGCTTTCTGCATTTATAAATTAAATCTTTCGGTCTTTTACAGAAACAATAAACGTGATCCAACTTTGAGTTTTCTAAGATTTTAAGAATTATTTTTAAAAATTTGGCATTTTCCGTTTGAACATTGCATCTTTGTGTATAACAGAAAATGTTTTTAGGTTTTTTCTTTAATAAGTAATTTGAGTCACAGCTATATTACATCCTGTTAAAGTGATATGCCATTTTTTATTCTCTAACGAGAAAATATCCTTCCTTATTTTCTTACACGATTTTTGTACAAATTATCTTATGATCAAAAATCATTTTTAAATAATAGAAAATCGAAATAAACTATATTATAACTCAATAAAAGAAACAACAGTTACGAACTTCTTTTTGTACAAAAGATCTTACACAAAGTAGACAAATGTTTATTTGAGATAAACAACACGTGGTTAAGTTCGAAAACTAAAGGTAAACAAAAAGACAAATAGCTTAAATCCAAAAAACAAATCAAATAAAAGTAACAAAATGAAGGCAAATAATCAAATTTCACTCGTGTATTCTTTGATAACAGATAAATTTTTTTTTTTTTTTACTCATGTGATTTAAACACCACTTTAAATACCGTGTCATGCATGATTTATTTTTATTACATACTTTTGTGTGGATTGTGGACATAAAAAAATAATTAAATGACGGAATTTCTAATTCGGCGTTATAAGCTTCTGATATAATATTAAAAACCTACATTATTATTTGGGTTTTTATTATTTTGGTATAATATCCATAGGATCTTGCTGTATAACCAACGAAGCATTTCGTTTTGTGGTAAAATGGATCATAGTCACGAATGACTGAGAAATAATTAAACCAACACAACAATGGACAGATCGATGGTCGGCTAGTAAATCAAAATACGATAATAAAATAGTTCAAGTGAACACAATCAATTAGAGCCAAACTTTGCATCTTCTATTTCATGCAATGAATGGAACCAAAAGCTATTTTGGACACATGTTTAGGGTATAAATTAGTCTTGGGCTTAAAATCCAATCCAAAATGACCCAAGTCCACCCAGAAAACATAGTTCGGTTCAGATTTGGTTCTCGAAACAAACTGAATAGATTTTATTTTAATTTGAATTGGATTTTGGTTCGGATCGGATTGGACCCGAGATCCATTCGGAGATCCGAATAATCCGAGAAAAAACATAAACATAAAGTTCATAAGCTTTTGGATTTTTTTGGATTTAAATCAAATTTTCGGGTTTAAATCAGTTTTTTTCCGATTTAAATCCAATTTTAGATCTATTTTGGTTCTAATTTGAGAGTCCAAAACCGACGCAAACGAATAAGACCCGAACTAAAAAATTTCCAAGAATCATTTAGGTCCTAAACCCGAAAAACCCGACCCATCTTGATTGCGGACCCGAAGGCTCATACCCGAAAAACCGAAGGACCATGATACTCATGGTTGGGGTTTATAGAAATTTTATATTTGTTTTTTTTTTAAACAGTAGTCATATCCAACCAAAATAAAAGCTCCAACCCTAAACCTGTTTTTCAGTATCACCAAAATAAAATAATAATATTTTAGTTATTTTTTAAAAAATTCGATTTATTTCAGAAATAATCATAAAAAATACATATTCTCAAATTTAAAATACAAATAACACATTTTATATAAAAATACAAAATATGAAAATTTTATGGTTCAAAAATAACAAAATATAAATACATCAAGCACTTAACCAAATTTATGTCATATATGTTTAACCAGATCATCCTTAAAACATTGATCAATATCATAGCACGAACTTGATTTCGAATGCCGATCATATTGCCAATATTTGTGGGCATATCTGTCGAATACATCATATCGACTTGTGAAGATCTGGTTCCTTCTTCTTGTTCAAACTCTGATATATCATATTGAGTGTTGACTGCTCTTTCGTCTTCTACTATCATGTTGTGTAATATGATACATATTCTCATAATCTTTCCTATTTTTTCCTTATCCAAAATAAGAGCATGATTTTTTATAATAGCAAATCTTGCTTGCAAGACTCCAAAAGCTCTTTCAACATCTTTTCGTACATATTCTTGGCGTGTAGCAAATAACTTGTCTTTCTCACTTTGGGGAAGGTGTATAGATTGGATAAAAGTTGTCCATTTTGGATAAATACCGTCGGTGAGGGAATATCCCAGACAGTACTCATTTCCATTGACAGAGAACCTGATTTTTGGAGCTCGACCTTGTAATATGTCATCAAAAACAGGTGAGCGATGAAGAACATTGATATCGTTTAAAGTACCTGGAGGTCCAAAAAATACATGCCAAAACCAAAGATCGTGTGATGCTACAGCCTCCAAGACAATTGTTGGTTTTCCTGAACCCCGTGTATATTGTCCTTTCCAGGCTGTTGGGCAATTTTTACACTCCCAATGCATATAATCGATGCTTCCAATCATCCCGAGAAATCCACGTATCTCTCTGACATCAAGTAGGCGTTGAAGATCTTCTCGTGTGGGTCTTCTTAGGTATTCATCCCCGAACGAAGATATTATTCCTTCCGTGAAATGTTCCAAGCATGAAATTGCCTTACTTTCACTGAGACGGAGGTATTCATCAACTGCATCAGCCGCACTACCATATGCTAACATACGAATTGCTGCCGTACATTTTTGTAATCCTGACAGACTAAGCCTTCCAATAGCATCTCTCCTTTGTTGGAAAAAAAGCATTTCTTGGGATAGCCGTTCCACTATACGCATGAACAATGGCTAGTTCATTCTAAAACGGCGGCGGAATAAATTGGGAGGGTATGTAGCATCTTCGCTGAAATAGTCATTCCATAAACGGATATGACCTTGTTCGCGGTTTCTT